GGAAACTTAACAAAGTTATCAAAAAGGATGTAGACCCATATTTGGATTTATAAAATTCTTGACTCACTAGGAAAGGCCAAATGGTTTACTTCTTTGAATATGGCTAGTGGATATTAGCAAGTTGAAATGAATCCAGCGGATAAGAAAAAAACTGCTTTTATTACCAAACAAGGAACTTTTGAATTCAATGTCATGTCTTTTGGATTAACCAATGCACCAGCCACTTTTCAACAACTCATGGATTACATTTTCTATGATATCAAGAAAAAATATGTATTAGTATACTTAGATGATATTAACATATACTCTGTAACATATGAGGAGTACTTATAATATTTAAAGGAAGTTTTTGAAAGATTTAGACAAGTCAATCTCAAACTCAACTTGGAAAAATGTCACTTTTGCAAAAAGGAACTTGCATTTTTGAAACATATTATCAATCAATATAGAATTTAACCAGATCCAGTCAAAGTTGAAAAAGTGAAAAACTTTCCATACCAACCAATACTACTAAACTGAAAGAATTTATTGAATTAGTATCTTATTACTGACATTTCATACCAAGTTTTGTCACCATTGCTGAACCAATGAACAAGTTTTTGAGGAAAAATACTCCATTTCTTTGGAATGAAAAATGTCAATCAATATTTGAAAAACTTAAGGAAAAATTAATCATCGCATCAATCTTGACTTACCCAAATTTCTTCAAGCCTTTTTTCTTGTATACTAATACTTCTTATAAAGGACTGGAAGCTGTCCTAGCTCAATTGGATAAACAAGAAAATAAACATGTGATAGTTTATGCAAGCTGAAGTCTTGTTAGACCTGAACTAAATTACTTCACCACTGAAATTGAATGTCTTGCTACTGTCTGGGCCATGAAATACTTCTGTCCTTACATCATCTTCAGAAATTCACTTTTATTACTAACCACTCAGCTCTTCAATGGATAATTAATAACTCCACTTTAAACAAAAGAACAATATGATGGATACTTACTATTATTGATTACCCCTTCAAAATTCAATACCAGAAAGGCAAAAAGTATTAAAATGCAGATGTATTATCAAGACTCTCTTCAACTTCAACACCTTAATTATGGATTTGAAAACCTATTAGCAACTATATACATATCTCTCTACTGAAAAACTACCTCTGGACTTAATGATAAAGGAAATAATCTCTTTCAAAAAACAAGTAACACATTATTTTACTCAATACTACACACTATTCTGATGCAATACTAAAAACTCAATGGGACCACCCAAAGTTATTAAAGCAACTGAATCGGAATCAATCTTACACAACCTTCATGAAAACATTCTTACTGGACATTTTGAAATTGAAGCAATCTATAATTGAGCAAGGAGTTGATATTATTGGCCTAATTAATACAAAACTATTACTAAATATATTAAAAGTTGTGATACTTGCCAGTGACAAAAAGTCCCTACACTATATAAGAAACTTTACCCTATACCTGTTGGACAACCTTTTGACCATATAGGAATTGACATTATTGGATCTTTATCAATAACTTCTCAAGGCAATCAATATATTGTTGTAGCTACTGAATATCTTATCAAGTGACCTGAAGCAAAAGCTCTCAAGGATATTAAAGCTACTATCATTGCAAAGTTTATATATAAGAATATTATATATCAACATGAATGTCTTAAAGTTCTTCTATCTAATTAAGAAACACCATTTATTAATAAGTTAGTGGATACTTTATGCAAATTAATGACTATTCATTAATAATTCTTAGCTGCTTATTATCCACAAACCAATAGATTAACTAAGTGATTCAATAAAACTCTCTATAACACTCTAACTAAATATGTAAGTGATTATAGTAACACATGGAATACTTTTTTAAACTCAATACTATTTGCCTACCACTATATTCAAAATCATACTTCTAAATATTCACTATTCAAGCTACTTTATGACTGTGAAGCAAGGTTACCTACTGATCTTTAGAATAACAAATAGGAATCTAATGACATGTTGGATCAATAACTACAGTGACATATTGAATTTATTATTAGTAATCTTAGTAATTTAAGGCTTAGCATACAATAAAATATTGAAAAAGCACAGGACAAACAAAAACAATATTATGATCAAGAAATCAAAGTTCAAAAATTCAACATAGAAGACAAAGTTTTATTATATGAATCAGTAAAAGCAAAGATATATAGTAATAAATTTAGGAAAAAATAAACAAAACCATATTATATTCACAATATTATCACACTAGGAACATACAAATTAAGGAACATAAAGAACAAAGTACTCAAAAGGGCAGTAAACACCAATCAATTAAAAAGATATCATAAATGACCAATTTGAGAGCCAAGTATTATTATATAGTTATAGAAAATTATATATTGTAGGAAAAACAAAAACATTATTAGTAATAGTTATTATATATATTCATATTTATACTAAGTAACTTATTGAATCCATATACAGTATATAGCTATAGATGACCTTTGTTTCCTGAAAATATGGGAAACCTATGATACATGCCTTTGAGCTGGTCAGCTACGTAGCATCAAGTGCAAGGTAGTGTTTGAGACTATAGCATTAAAAAAAAAAACTTATTTTGATTATTTTCTTTTTTATTATATTATATTTTATTTATTTAATTATAGTTTCTCTTATCTTAGTTTATTAATTTATCTTCTTTGAACATAACAATATAGTTGAATGGTTATGATAATTATATATGAGTGTTGGGATACATAATACCTATTAGAAGTGAAAAATATAAATATGGAATAAAGGTCCTTAGAGTGTCATCTTATACCACAAGTTATTGACCCATAAAGCATTACAATGACAACAAAATATTTTAGTATTGAGTGACAAAAAAAATTTTAATTGAAAAACAAATAGCAAAATTAATTATTTGATTTCTCTTTTTGGAAAAACATATCATTTGAAACTTGAGGAGGATTAAGATTATAAGTTGATCTTTGACTCAGATACAAGAATTGTCAAACTGGAGAAATACTTCAGAAAAAAGAACCAATTAAACTTATCTACTACTTACTGATAACTTTGGAGGAAGATGAATTTGAAAAAACATTGGCTTGAATTAGTTGAATCTGCAGTTCTTCTACATAGAGATAAAGTGCTTGAATTTCTGAGCATACTGCCAACCGTTGAGAAAGCTTCAAAGCCAATTATCTTGAGTTTACTTGAAAGAGCAAAGTTATCTATTGTTGATATTGGACTATAGCTTCTTGACCATGAAGATGAAGCCACTGCAAGGTATCTCTCTGAGTTCTAAATTGCTCATGAAATATGGAAAGTTTAATCTGAAAGGAGGCCAATTCTTCTTTATATTCCGAAAAAGGACAGCAAAGTAAAGTCTGATCAAGGAATTTCATTTTCTCTTGCACCAATATGATGCAACTGACCACTGGATTAGGATATTCAATAGCATACTCAAGTATATTGACACGAGGCATTTTTAAGGAAATTGAGATATGGAATATGGGAATTAGTGATAAACCATTTATCAAGCCTATCTATTTAATATTGAAAAGGAACTGATGATCCGTTAACAAGCCATTATATCAAATCAAATTGAGATGGATTGATCATTAATAGCACAACCTTAAAGTATATTTAAGAAATGTTTATAAGGGAAAATTTCTATAAAAATATCCAAACTCAGCCATCAACAATTAGCTGCAAGGAAATTGGACTTACTTAAAATAAATATGTTATCTATTTTGGATAAAACTTCAAACTGATATAAACATTCATATAACCCATTACCCCAGTAAAGGATAGTATCAAAAATACTCTTTTGGAATCAAACAACATATACAACAATCTGATCACATAGCTACTCTTATCAATTTATACTATTTGGAAAAGCTATTGAATACTGTTCAGGATCATAAACAATTGTGACAATAGTATCTCCAGAAAAATCCACTTCAAAATCCCCACTGCTATTATTGTACAGCTAGGTGCACCTATAAAATCTTCCAAGGTAATTTAAACTAAATTTATCAAACAAAGTTTTTGTTCATGAACTATCTATTTGGAATGAAGAATAAAATTTATCGAAATAATTTTATTTTCTATATGAGGAAACTTGATTCAGAGGACTTTGCCTTTTAAGGAAGAAAAGTGTAATAAAAATAGTCTCTAATACCATTGGATAGTTATTTTTAGTCATCATTTTCATTTTATTTCTATTTTTATCTATTTATTTATAATTATTTCTTTGATATTCTTATTGATACTTGATTAGCATAGATCACTTTATCAAATATAGCACATAACATAATTTACCGTAAATCAGGTAGTCCAGGAGGTTTAGGAGATCCAGGAGGCCTAGGAGGCCCAAGTGACTCAAGTGGCCTATTTTTACAAGTATATAAGCAATCATAATTCGCTCAAAAGTTGAATAAGTTTGTAAATAGCTTCACTTGACTTTGGAAGTTTCAGAATAACTTTACTTTTCTTTTAGGAGATTGAATATCTTCTTTTGATTTTAAGACTAAAGAAATTGTCTTAGTTTTCTTGATTTATTAATAAACTTGGATTTTGAGTGAACCATATTTCTTGTAAAATACTGTATAATATTGTTTAAAGGATTTTTGGTAAATCTATTCTTGAATATTTCTTTATTATAAATCACTTCTTTAATTCTTTCTTTGGGGATTGTTTTTTTAAAAGCAATTTCACTTGAGCATACTGGTCAAATATAAATTTGATCATAATATTAGATTAATAATACAGGAGTATAATATTGTATTATATACTTATAGACCTGTTAATCAGATAATAATTAGTTATAAGTGACATTAAGTTAACAAATTATATTAACAGATTTCTTGTCTTTAACAAGAATCGACAGAATTTTAATTTTACTACTTAAAGAATTTGAATCAAAATTTTGTAATATAATCTATGAAGTACTAACTATTGCATTATTGATCTATAGATCTTTAGTTATAATATATATTATGTTACTAAATAAAAATATATTTTTATTTTTTAATTATAATAAATTATAATTTAATTTTAATTGTAAGTATTATAAAAAAAAATATTATTATTAATAAATTAATTTTAATAATTAAAAAAAATCAAATGTTATTTTTATTAATAATAATAATTTTTTTTTAATCCGCAATCATATCACAATGGCATTTCTTTATTGAGATATTGAGAAATACTTAAATATTTTACAGACTTTCATAAAGTGACTAACTCATTATTATACATTATTAATTAAAGGACCATACTACTTAAAAAATATGAGGAGTTCACCAAGCTAGTTTGGACTAAACAAAACTAAATCTAAACTAGGTACTTTAAATCAGATTTAGGAAACAATATTTCACTCTACTAGTAGCTTGGTAATAGTATCTCTAAGTCAATTAAAGTCATTGTCAACAGTTTATTACTGTAGATTATCCTGAAAAATAATGAATTGCTAAAGTTGGCACTGGGGAAAGGGGAAGGGGAAATAAAATTCAAAATTCTCAAAAGGTTCTTGCTCCATTTCATAGTTTTCTCTCAAAAGGGGTTTATCTGATTGGGATATTCTCTAAGCTTTATGATATTTGAGAAACTTAATTATTCCTAAAAGTGACTTCAAGAAGAATATTTGAGAAACTTATCTTTTTGTTGATATATGAATTCACTTTTTGCTAGTAAGACCACAATACCATATTATAGAAGAGTTTGCCTAACTGGGATAAAAAAATCTTTTCAAGAACTTTGTCCGATCAGAATAGAAGCTTGGAAATCTCAGCTTTTATTCAAGAAAGTCTTTTCATCACCTGAGGAACTTAATGAAAGATGAGAGTTAGATTTTCTATTTCTACTCATTGCTCATCTTTCAGTATCATAATTGTTTTCTGGAGATTAAACATATATGATTGGAAGAGACACTTTTTCTAGAACTTTCTTTTTTATATCACCAATGATGTATCAAGATACGTGAGTAGATCAATAGGAGCTTATTTATATTTTAAAAACTGACATGTTTTATATTAGCCAATTACCTTTGGTGAGAATTTGTGCTACTCAAAATTCAGGATCAAACTGAAATAGGCAAAATTTTTTAGAAAACCATAAACATGAAAGTTTTAAAAAGATCAAAACAGTCAAAAAAGGAAAAAATAAGCCTTTTTACTATAGAAAACCTTTATAAACCTTTCACTTCAAAGATTAGAAAGACCTTCAGATACTTCATAGTTAGTTTTTCTTCTTTTGTAAACTTACTTGCCATTGGTATCAAAGGTATTACTTGACCTTTTTTGATCATTAGAAGTCAAGTTTTTGAGTAAGGAGATTTATAAACAATAGGGGAAGGGTAAAATTGACTCTTGAAGTCATACTTCAAGTTATTTTAAAGAAAGTATCAAGACTTTATTAACAAGGAAGTGTAAAAACTTCTTGCGAACATCTTTTTTGTATTTAATCAGAGGATCAGCAGATTTTTATTATTAATAATAAAAAGGTTTAAAAAATATTTAATTATAAAGTATTTAAAAATTTAATTATTATTAAACTAAATTATAAAAATTTTTATATAAAAATGATTTGTTTTATTATTTTATTAATTATTTATTTTTATGATTTTTAAGAAATTTTAATTTGTTTTTGAATATTTGAATAATATAATTTTTCTTAATGACAAATAATTAATATAAAAATTATTAATATTTGAATTAAAATAAAAAACAAAAAATAAAAAATAATAATAAGTAATTATAAAAGTATTTAAAAATACTAGTATAAAAAAAATAAAATATATTAAAAACTCATATAAAAAAAAGTAAAATATCACAAATTATTTTAAAATATATAGAAATTTTATTTTTTTTTTCATAAAAATTTATTTTCTTTATAAAAATATATAGAATTGTATAGTAATCAATAATACTTTAAAATATTTTTATTTTTTATCAAATAATAATAAAATAAAGATTATATCAAAAAAAAATTTTTTTTTTTAATATCAGTAAATATTAAATATAAGACTTTTATTATATTTTTATAATTATCAAATAAATCTATAGCAGTAATCTGTAAATGGTAATATTAATAATTGAAAGGATTTTTATGTAAACAATTAATGAAACAATAAAATTATACTTAGAATTGACAAAATTAAAAAAATTTTACTTTTAACAATAAATTGCTATCTATTTATCTGTATCTTTTAAACTGTGTCCAAGTTCTTGAGTAACACTACAAATATTATTTCGAACACGATTTTATTACACGTGAATGCAGTGAGCCGATTCATTAAAAATATTTACGCAGTGTAACTTGTGCAACTTGCACACTACACAAACAATAGATGCCAGTAATAGTGATTGGATTACTAAAAGTGCACAGTAACCAAGATTAACAAATATCCGAAAGATAATATGATTGAAGAGGTCGTACAAAATATTTGTATTTATATTATTTTTATTAATCTAAACATTTGGTCGCTAAATGTCGATCGATTATAAGAAAAAAAATGTGGTTCATATTTCCCTAATATAATGGCAGTATGTGTTACAGACAATCTGTACTAAATATACTAATATACTGTATGTATATGTACATATTTTCTAAGAGGAAATGTCATCTACGGATTAAGTACAAAAGAATCTAAACAAATATACTGTAAAACTAAAAATAATTTTTTGATGCGTAAAAAAGTAAAAGGAAAAAGAATTATTAGGATTTACAAAAAGAAGGTAATAATTATGATAATTATGCATAAAGCAATCTCGGCATGAAAATTATTCGATGTGTGATGTGATATTTTATTCTTCACTTTCAAGTTCACCTTCACCAGAATTTGACATCACAACGTCACCGTCACCGTCACCATCACCATTGCTGCTATTGGTCTCGACCCCATTCTCTTCCGCTAGCTGGAGAACGATCGAGGCGGGAGACTCGGTAACTCCATTCGCCCTTCCATTTCCGTTAGTGCGTGCACCTGTACCTCTACGTCTACCACCGCCGTTCCTACTTTTCATGACTTCAAAGTGCTGAGTAACGTAGTTTTTGCACTTTGAAGAGTTGGGCAAATCTTGAATCATCTTTCTGATAGTGGCTTGCGAGAAACCAAAGTAATCAGGACCCGACGCAGAGTTAGAATGATCACGATGACGGATGGCATTTGCTTCACGAACAACCGAGGTCCAAGCTCCGGTAGCAGTATTTGCTATAATCGGTTTGTCTGGTTGATCTTCGGCTTCAATTACAAACTAATAACAATAAAATGGGCACAGTATAAGTAAGGTTGTACAATAAAAAAATTTCAGGCATGAAAAAGCATTAAGAACAAATTGAATTATTTCTACCTTTGGACCTTCTCCACCATCTTCGATTTTACAGACATACATTGCCTGGCTGTCAGGGTTGATCATACTATTGTATGCTCTTTTTTAATAAAGGAATGCGTTAGAGTAGCTAACTGGGATAATGGTGATGTGATTGTAAAACATACCTTTTAACGGCATACCCAACAGGCCAGATGTATCTTTCATTGTGAAAAGTGTCACGATCGTACACAATCGTACCAAGATTCAATACAGTCAATATTCCAATTTGTACGGGAAGCTTGTAATTTCCTTTTTCATCTTGCTCCACGTATTGAACTTTCATGGTTTTTGTATTAAGAGGGCGTTTACTGGCGCGTTTCTTGGGAACCTTACCCGAAACTTGAGTAATGGGGATGGTGTTCACTATATTATTTGCGGGTGTAGGAGTCGATGACTTTTTATTGGAGGTACGTCCTCGAGACTTCTTTATTGGACGGGTAGAAGATGCTCGAGATTGCTGGGCCGAAGATGCTGAAGTGAAAAACATCAGTTTAGATACAAATAAAGTGTATCTACTTAGGCGCATCTCTAATTATAATTACCATTTGAAACTGAAGAATCATCCGACGAAAAGTCCACAGATTTTTCAGAATCCGAAGTGTCAGTATCTTCATATTGACTAATGCGATCCAATAGTAATCTAAATAAACGAGTATTAGAAACAATCAGATTAAGAATAAACATGGTCAATGCACTACATTAAACCGTAGGGACTTAACTTACTCTTTCTCTCTTTTAAGCGATTTAATTCGTTTACGAGACCTGTCAAGCTCTTTAGAGACTTTATCGAGATCCTATTAATCATAAAAACGTAAGTTATTACCGTTAATAAACCATGAAAACTTTTTTCTCTTTCGGGTTATCGTCTTGAAAAACCAAAAGTTACTCGTATAACACTTTTTTTGTATACTATCAAAGAGGCTCAAATAGAACACGTTTGCGTTGTCTAACACTAGTACGGCATTTGCAAAGTTTAAAGTTTATATTAAAAAAAAAAAAAAAAGCTCGAGGAGTTCACGTATAACACGTTTGCAAAAAAAACTCTGTCTAAAGATTACGAGAAAGCGTTCTCTCGATCGTAAAATTTTAATAAGTACTCACAGTTTGCATGTCACGGACCCTTCGTTTTAGTTTTTGGTATCTATCGTGGGGTACGACACCATTTTCGTGGGAAGCGGTATGTCTTCCCCTGCCAGAATGTGAGTGATTCTGGGCCATCGTATAAGAGAATAATGTGTATAAATAAGATGTGGGAATCTCAACGGGAAATGGTTCGGAGTGAGTAAGTTATACAAGGTTTAGTGGCCTTATTAGTATTTATAGTAATAGGTAAATATAGTTGGAGCTGAGTGTATTATAGTCGATAGTGCGCCAACAATCTTCTGGTGTATAAGGAACAACAGTCAAAAAGAATGCAAAAGTTTTAAGAAAATATTATGGGGGATAGTCTAAGCTTATGAATTGTATTAATGATTTTATTTTGCAACGCAGACGTAATTCATTTGTATGGTTGTATTTATCCAATATGTTGTGGGGGGTTTTGGTTTGAAACATACTGGACGGACGTTTCGGAAGGCTTGTGTGTACGCTCTAAGTTCCAAGAACAAAAGCCTGCCTCTTTCAAAAGAGAAAATGATTTCATGCTGTCTCCAAAATCTTTACTGCTTGCAATCTGATTGGTAGAAATTGCGATGTGTAACGTCGCATCATGCAATTACCGTCCATAATTGGAAAGAACAGGGTCCTTAAGGTAGGTATAAATTGTATTTTAAACTACTCGTCAAATTGTATTACATACCCATCAAGGGCCCTTTTCGTGTTTGCTTATCAGCCCATTGACTAAGCCTCAAATAATAACAGTAACTAAATATATTAACATTGTAACCATGTTTACTGTAATTTTATAATACCGATTGTGTCACATTAGTCCATTCTTTTATCTAGTGTTAGCATTGTGTATCAAGTTAAATTATACTATTGCTAAAAATTGAAAAAAAATATATTTAAATTATAGAATACTATATTTAACAATAAAAATAATACTATATTCTTTTTTAATATTTTTACTTAATATAATTGACTAAAAGAATTTTAAAATTATTATAATTGTATTTATTATATACAAAATATTTATAAATATAAAAATTTTTTAAAAAATTTAAATTATAAATAATTATTATACAATATATAATAAAAAATCTATTATATTAAAAATATAAAATTAATAAATAAAATAAATAAATAAAAATACTATTCTAATTTATTAGATATAAAAATAAAATATAATAAAAAAATAAATAAAAATTACTTTATTAAATTTTTAATTTTTTTAAAAATTTCTTTTTTAAATAATTTTTTTAAAAACTAAGAAATCAACTTTAAAAATAAAAACTTATATAATTGGATCTATAAAATACTAATTACTATACTTTTTTTTTTTAAAATATACAATATACTTCATTTTATTGAGTTTATATACAAATATATATTACCTTGTCAAGTAAAAATTATATTACAGACATTTTTCTTATGTATCTAATATATATAATGTGATAAAAATAGCATCTACTACCATTGGATAGTTATTTTTAGTCATTATCTTCATTTTATTTCTATTTTTATCTA